ATTGCAGGTTATAAAGTCTCGAAATTGCGGAGACTAAAAGTTAGTCTTTTTTCCCCCTTAGAATCTCACAATTCTGAGAAAAAATGTCAGAATTTCGAGTTATAAACTCGCAATTATGTGTTATAAAGTCAGAATTGCGAGATATAAACTCGCAATTGTGAAAAAAAAGTCCGAATTGTGAGATAAAAAGTCGCAATTCTGTATTTTTTTCTCACAATTTCGACTTTATTTCTCATAATTGCGACTTTATATCGCAATTGCGACTTTATTTCTCAGAATTGTGACTTTATATCTCGCAATTGCGACTTTATTTCTCAGAATTGCGACTTTATATCTCGCAATTGCGACTTTATTTCTCAGAATTGCGGCTTTATATCTCGCAATTGCGACTTTATTTCTCAGAATTGCGACTTTATATCTCGCATTGCGATTTTTTTTCCTCACAATTCTGACTTCATATCTGTGAGATAAAAAGTCGCAATTATTATTATTTTATTTTTTTATTCAGTGGCAGAAACAAGCTTCCATACTAACCAGATCAATCACTGTTTTTGGTAGAAATTATATTTCTACATGTCAAATAATTGACTGTAGAAGTAGAGTAACAACTGGTGTAGTAGAGTAACAACAGACCCGACAGCCATGACATGCACGCTGCTGATTCTGTGTAATTGAAACATTAATTGAAAGGCGTGCGTTCAAAATAATAGCAATTAGTGAGGTTATTCATTCTGTGAAAAAACTGGTGTCAAACAACAGGAACAGCGTACTTTGATTAAAACGTTGATTGGAGAGGGGAAAACATATAAAGAAGTGCAGAAAATGATACGCTGCTCAGCTAAAATGATATCAAATGCTATAAAATGGCAACCAATACAGGAAAGACTTGGAAGAAAACGGAAAAAACTACCATTCAAATGGATCGAAGAATAGTCAAAATGGCAAAGACTCAGCCAATGATCAGCTCCAGGGTGATCAAAGAAGATCTAAAGTTACCTGTGAGCACTGGAACAATGAGAAGACGCCTATGTGAAGCCAAGCTATCAGCAAGAAGCCCCCGCAAAGTCCCATTGTTGAAAAAAACACATGTGCTGTAGAGGGTACAATTTGCCAAAGAACACATTGACTGGACTAAAGAGAAATGGCGAAATATATTTTGTGGACTGATGAAAGCAAGATTGTTCTTTTTGGGTCTAGGGGCCGCAGACAGTTTGTCAGACGACCCCCGAACACTGAATTCAAGCCACAGTACACTGTGATGACAGTGAAGCATGAAGGCACAAGCATCATGATATGGGGATGTTTCTCATACTATGGTGTTGGGCCTATTTATTGCATTCCACAGATCATGGATCAGTTTGAGTACATCAAAATACTTCAAGAGGTCATGTTGCCCTATGCCGAAGAGGAAATGCCCTTGAAATGGGTGTTTCAACAAGACAACGACCCCAAACACACCACTAAGTGAGCAGCATCTTGGTTCCAGACCAACAAGATTAACATTATGGAGTGGCCAGCCCAATCCCCAGACCTTAATCCAATAGAAAACGTGTGGGGTGACATCAAAAATGCTGTTTTTGAAGCAAAACCAAGAAATTGTGGTATGTAGTGCAATTGTCCTGGGCTGGAATACCTGTTCACGGGTGACAGAAGTTGGTCGACTCCACGCAACACAGACGTGAAGCAGTTCTCAGAATCCGTGGTTATACAACTAAATATTAGGTCAGGGATTCACAAGAAAGCTAAATCTTCAAGCATTTTTCAGTTTATACAGTACATGTTTGACTTTGTAAAGAAAAATGCACACACTGCTATTTTTTTGAACAGCCTAATATTCCTTTTTCTTCACTTTCCATCAAGTAATAACACATTTGATACATTTTTCTTCACGTTTTTATTTCGAATAGAATGTGCAGTGTTCCCAATGCATTTGCGTGTATTGAAATAAAAGTTATTATAAGGATTTTGAGATACCAAATTTAAATTCATAATCATTTTTTTTTTTTCTGTATTGGTTGGCATAATTCTTTTAGTGAATCGGGTAAACATGCAGGACATGCAAATGAACTACATGATTCATTCTCCATGAATCCCCCCTTTTTCTATATCATGCCAAGGGGAACCAATCAGACCACATCTTCAGTTGTCCTGTTCAAAACCTTCACGGAGACAAATATCAATATTCGTTTTATGATTGCACGCCATGTCGCTCTCTTCAGTCTGTCTCTCTCTCTCTGTTCTCCTGTCTCCTTCACTCGTAGTAAAAACAGCATCAATAATTAATGATCCAATTAATAGTTTACACTGGGTTTTTATTGAGTTGTCAGAGTGATGGAGAGCCGTGCACCAGCGGCCTGGGAGCTGTGCTGAGGCCTGAATCAGCACTTCCGCCTTCTGCCGAGAACGTGAGAGTGAAAGAGAAATAGAGCCCGGAACGCAGCCGCTAAGACCACTGCGCTCACGCTTTTACTACCAACACACACACACACACACACACAGAGAGAGAGAGAGTGAGCGGAGTGCTCCAGAAGGATAGCATGATGATAGTGGACATTAGGAACACAGATAAGTGGCGAGTGTGAATGCTCACTGAAATAATTGTAGCTACTGTTATTGTTTTGTCCCTTGGTAATTTGGGCCACTTTTTGTCATTGAGATGATTGGAAAAACATGGTGTAATTTACCTGAATTCACCTTAAATTTGGTAAAGATGAGGTAATCGTGAAAGCGAAAGTGCCCACAATCGCTCCCCGGGCGCCGCAGTAATGCCCAATGCTCTGGGTGTGTGTGTTCATGTTTTGCAGTGTGTGTTCAATACTCACTGCTCCTAATGTGTGTGCACTAACTTGAATGGGTTAAATATAGAGGACAAATTCTGAGAATGGGTTAACATACTTGGCCTTTACGTCATGTCACTTAAATTCAAATTAATACTTTTAACCATGGTTGTAGATATACGTGTACATTACTGTATGAGTCCTTTTTTAATTTTAAGTGTTATATGAAGTGAGATCTATCATTAATTTGTTACGAATAATCATCTTTTGGTTTCCATCTATCATGTTTTCAAATGAAATTTTATGTAATAAATCAAAAAAAAAAAAAATTGCTTTCCACTGTTCCAGATTATTTTCCCATTTTGTTTCCGACGTTCTTAAGGATATTCATGGCATGCATAATTAATTTTTTTTGTACTATATGACTTTTGGAGGACCATAACATTGCATTTAGTGGGTTTCTGCGAGTACTACAGGAAGAGCTTTAGACTGCTGCTTAAACTACCCCTTTATTCTTTTGTTCATTAATTCTCATATGTCTGCAGTTCTCTGTCATTACCACTGGCGCTGGTGTTTTGGAGTTTAATGTAATGAGTCCCATATGTAGATCAGTGTCTGCTTTATGATTGGTTGCTCTGTTCATTTGATGTTTAAGACACATGCACACATCCTTGGCTTAAGCACAGAGCAGATACAATACTATGATGCTACTGTATTATATCTGATGTTGTCATATGAATATTGCATGGTATTTGATAATGCCATATTTACTGAAGTAAAACTAAATCTATTAATAATATCATTCTGATATCATTTCAGTCATGACAACTCTCCTCGGAGTAGTTTGAAACACAATATGTATCTCTAATGTAAATGTTAATAGGTTGTGACTGTACACAGACTCGCTCTGCTAGAACACGATAAAACGGAAAGAAAACTTGCTGCTGCTACAGAGCAAGTATGAAGACTTGCTCCATAAGACACAAAGTGACATTGAAAGTGCTGCTGCAAATAGAGAGCACGTAGCAGATCTAGACAGGTGGTGCTGGGGAGGAGGAGGGTTAATGGACTGAAATATGGCTAGTCTGATAGAAAGAAGTGGCCGATTTGCTGCTGAACCGGTCACGAGACAGCCAATCAGTGGCACGGTAGAGTTTCATGACTAAACTAGGTATACATTTTATTATATTTAGATGTCTTATTTATTATGCTATATTTAATCAAGCCATATCTGATGTAATATTCGGATTATATCACATTTGATTTGATCTAGCCATATAATATATGTAAAAGCATCACAGCTGATGGTTTTTATCTGATTATGATGTCATATTGGACAATGTCATTTACAATGACCACATCCAGTGTTGTGCCTGATGATGTCATATATGATTATGTCATATCTCTCCAAATGCAGGAATGCAGGTTAAGATAGTATGCACCAACTGCATTTTAAACTGGAGCTGGCATTGTGTGTGTGTCCACCCCCCCCCCCCCCCCCCCTCAAATAAAGTGTATTAACAGCCCAGTCCCAAGATCTTTTCAGATCTTATTAGTCAGACTTTGAAGATAGCGACTTCATCCAAGTTTCTTTGAGCTGTGCAAATGTTTGACCTCTTCTGTAGTTTTGTACGAAGGCGCATTATGTTGCATTTACCAGGGACAGTTCTTTATATTCTTGTTACTTGCCTGATTTGTCATAGTTAGGTTGCATAAATACAGTTATGAGTGTAATAATCAATGTACAATAAGTGTGAGTCTACGTATGAGTGCGTCTGACACATTTAACAATATGAATGAGTGAATACAGTGTCTTTTCCCCCCCACATGTCTCTGTTTCTTTTGTCCTCACAAACTACCTCTGCTCTCTGCTGTATGTGTGCGTTCTGGGATTGTGTGTGTATGTGTGTGTGGTGCTCACAGGGGATTTGGATGGCCACTGGTGGGATCATACAACGTGGCATAGCAGCGATGCTTCCTCCATGTCTTTGGTGAGACATGCGGAGCCTAATGTCCCACCTCTTTCTCTCTCTCTCTCTCTCTCTCTCTCTCTCTCTCTCTCTCTCTCTCTCTCTCTCTCTCTCTCTCTCTCTCTCTCTCTCTCTCTCTCTCTCTCTCTCTCTCTCTCTCTCTCTCTGTCACTCTGTCATTTCATGGTTCTTTTGATTTATTTTCACTTCTGCATGTCTTTTTTTTCTTTCTGTTTTTATCCCATGTCTGTAGGGGACAGTCAAAGGGGAAAAAGACAAACTTTTGAGCAGTCACACACCTTATCTGAGGGCCAAAAGAAAATGGTGCGCTTTGGGGGCCACTCTTTGGAAGAAGATGCTGAGTGGTGTGAACCCCAGGTTAAAGACTCGGGGGTTGATACGTGCAGTAGCACTACTCTAAACGAGGAACATAGCCATAGTGAGAAGGTACTGGGACCTCTCTGGCCTGCACTGATTTGATTTGATCTTGTTTTGTTTGAACTTTTCATTTACTTCATTTTGTTCCATTTTCACATGGTCTTTGTTTTGATGTCGCTAATGATAGGTGAGATGTTGATTTGATTTTCTTTTTGGATGTTGCAGGGATAGTTCACCCAAAAATGAACATTTTGGTATCATTTAACAAACCCGTATTACTTTCTCCTTTCTTTCTTTTTTCTTCCATGGAGCACGAAAAGGATTTTTTTTCTAAATCATACAATTTCAGGGTCCAAAAAGGACAAAAAACACCACACAGTTGCCATGAAAATGGTCTAGATATGCAATATTTCAGATCTTCTAAAACTACACTGCCGTTCAAAAGTTCAGGGTCACTAAGATACTTTTTTTTTGAAGGGAAGTATGAATTTAATACTCAGCAAGGATGGATTAAATTGATCAAAAGTGACAGTAAAGACATTTATAATGTTGCAAAATATTTTAAATTCATTAATAAATCAAAGCAGCACAACTGTTTTCAACATTAATAATAATAAGAATACATTTTTCTAGAGCAGCAAATCAGCATGTTAGAATGATTTCTGAAGGATTATCACTGAATATTGGAGTAATGATGCTGAAAATTCAACTTTGCATCACAGGAATAAATTACATTTTAAAACATCATTAACATTAAAAGTTACTTTAAATTGTAATGTTTCACAGTATTACTGTTTTTACTATAATTTAATGCAGCCTTGGCGAGCTTAATACACTTCTTTCAGAAACATTAAAAAACAAATCTTTTTTTTTTTTTAACCAAGTAGTGTGTATGGTCAGAAACCGACTGAAATTTAAGTTTCATTCACGTTGCAATCTCTTACACTTTAACACATGTAATCTTGCACATAACTTTTGGTCATGCAACTCGCAAGAACCAATAGTGTTCAGCATCATGTCAAAATATGCTTTCAATGTGTGGAAAAGAGCTCCATGATCATTCTCCTTATCTGTTCCATGGAAGGAAAAAAGTACGGGTTCAGAACATCATGAACAATAATGACAAAATTACATTTTTGGTTGAACTGTTCCTTCACTTGTTTTAAGTTTTTTTTTTTTTTTTACTTAAGTTTCCTCAGTTTTTAAACTGTTTTCTTGTGTGGCAGTAGCTGGGGAGCCTCTTGCTTGCTCTGTGATCGTTTGCTTCTTAGCCGCAGCTGCCGTAGTCGACATAGCAGCGAATCACTCCACCGTGTGACTGTGTGTTTTGTCATGGCACTTAGGGAATGTGGGTTCCCCCGTCAGCTGCATGCCCTCTCAGCCTCGTGTGTTATTGCCGTGTTAGTGGCCCCGTCAGCCGCGGTAGGGCCCTAGACCCCCTCACTGGTTCGAATCCTCACTCCTTCCCCCCCTTCTCCCGCCAGACACGCTCCGCTCCGAAACACACGCTCACTCGCTCAGAGACGGCCAGCCAGGATTTGTTTTGCCACAAAGTTTGTTTTTCTTTTTTCCCTTTCCACTGTCATATTCCTTTGCTCTCCATGTTATGGATCAGGGGATTCCACCGTTTGTGTTCGTGAGCCTTTCCATGCTGTTCTCCTCGCTTTCGGTTTGAACATCGTGTGTGTTTCTTCTTCCATTACCCCGGGCTTGTGTTTGCTGGATGTGGTGCTGGGGTTCGGCTGTGGTGATGATGGATTTGGTCTCTATCCGTGACTGCTGGGCTTTTCTCTGCATGTGATTGGGTGCATGTCACTCCCAGCAAGACAATCACACAAACTCTACACCATCTCTTTTGCCAAACACTATGACATTTATGAAGTAATGCGCTCTCAGCCTATAACAGAAAATAATTTTGACCATTTTGTAAAAAATACGATACCATTCAAACGTTTGGGGTCAGTAAGATGTTTTGTTGCTGAAATTTAAATTTCAGGCATTAAATTCATCAAAAAAGGCGGAATTATCTTTTAAAATGTTTTATTCTGCGGCAGAAACAAGCTTTCATATTAAATTGATCAAAAGTGACAGTAAAGACTTTTAAGATGTAAGAAAACATTTCTATTTCAAACAAATGTTGTTCTTTTGAACTCTGTTCATCAAGAAATCCTGAAAAAAAAGTTTAAAAAAATTCAACATTGATAATAATAAGAAATGTTTATTGAGCAGCAAATCAGCATATTAGAATGATTTCTGACTGGAGTAATGGTTGTTGAAAATTCAAATTTGTCATCACAGGAATTAATTACATTTTAAATGATATTGAAGCAGAAAACTATGGAAGCTTGTTTCCGCCACTGAATTGAAAAAATAATAATAATAATTGCGACTTTTTATCTCACAATTGCGAGTTATGAAGTCAGAATTGTGAGAAATAAAGTCGCAATTGCGAGATATGAAGTCGCAATTCGGAGGAATAAAGTCGCAATTGCGAGATATAAAGTCGCAATTCTGAGAAATAAAGTCGCAATTGCGAGAAAAAAAGACAGAACTCTGACTTTTTTTCTCACAATTGCGAGTTTACATCTCGCAATTCTGACTTTACAACAAATAATTGCGAGTTTATATCTCGAAATTCTGACCAGTTTTCTCAGAATTGTGAGATATAAACTCGCAATTGCGAGTTATCAGGCCAATTATTTTTTCCTCTCAGAATAGTTTATATCTCACAATTCTGACTTTACAACACGCAATTTCGACTTTATTTCATGCATTTCTGACTTTATAAAATGCAATTCTGACTTTATAACACGCAATTGCGACTTTATATCAATCAATTCTGACTTTATATCTCGCAGTTCTGACTTTATAACACGCAATTGCGACTTATATCATGCAATTCTGACTTTTGTGAGAAATAAAGTCAGAATTGCGAGATGTAAACTCGCAATTGTGAGAAAAAAAGTCAGAATTGTGAGATAAAAAGTCGCAATTACCTTTTTTATTTTTCATTCTGTGGCGGAAACAAGTTTCCATAGAAAACCTTTATTTTAAATTACAATAACATTTCACAATTTTACAGTTTTTTTATCAAATAAATGCAGGCTTGGAGAGCATAAGAGAGTTGTTAAAACTAAACCTTACTGACCCTAACCTTTGAATGGTAGTTTAAGTATAAATTACTTTTACAGTATGGAAATGTGAAAGTGTATGGGGCAAGGCATTATACCATTACTGTATGTATATCCACAAGACTTTAAACATTATATATGTGACCAGTGTGATAGAATGGCTTGCTAACTTATTCTTATTATACTTATTAACTTACTTATTATACTTATTAACATAATTATTAACTTATTATAATTTTTTTTTTTCCTTCTTTTTTTGCATTACAACTTATAACGTCAGTAACATGTAAGCAGAACTTAATTTATGTAGAAATGTCATCTCACCAATAAAAGGACAATTTAGACAACTTTATATCTCAGAAAATAGCCAATTTGTACAAAAAAAAGGTAATATAAGCACTTTAGCAAAAATGCAAGCTTCACATTTCTGCTTTTAAACCATCTGGAATGCCTTGCCCCACAGACCTCCATTATATTTTTCTACTGTAAGCAAATCTTGTACGTTTGTGAGGGATGATTCAAAATTATTTTCTGTGGTAATTGACAGCATGTCATAAATGTTGTCCATATAGCTTAACTTGAACCTGGATCACTCCTACTTGAATCTGTCTCCTGTTCATATTTGACATTGAGCAGTGATTTATTGCATTATAATGGAGTCATTCATTAAATTAACCACATTTCCACATTGACTTTTTTTTTTTACAGCTAAATTGTTTGGTGAACAGTTTATCAAAAAAAATTCCAAATTCTGTCATCATTTTCTCACAGAGCTCCAGTGGAAGAATTTCAGCCTCCAAAAAAATACTAATATTTCAACATTTTATGCTGAGCTATTATGATTTGTTCATGGAAATGGACCACTTTGCTCTCTAGATTATGGTATCATAACCATTTAACATTGGACAACTACTTTTTACTATCCACTTTCGTTATACGTTATATCAGTCACAAATACTTTTGTGATCCACGGGGGGCAAAAAAAGCGTACAGGTTTGGAATGACATGAGGGTGAGTAAATGATGACAGAATTTTCATTTTGGGCTGTGCTAATCCCATAAGCCTCTATGAGACATTATTTGATTTGTCCCGTCGTGTGGCTTACTCTTTTGAAACACCTGAAATCACAACAGAGTTTGTGTGATAAATCGGATGAAATTCATCTCAGCCTTCCCCGCACCAGCACTGGCAGGTTTCTGTGTGTTCTGGAATGATGTTTGTTGTGGTTTTGACCTGACAGCACCCGGTCACATGGCAGCCCTCCAAAGACGGAGATCGACTCATCGGCAGGATCCTGCTCAACAAGCGCATGAAGGACGGCAGCGTCCCTCGCGACTCCGGAGCTCTTCTGGGACTGAAAGTGAGTCGCTCGGCCTCCCCTGGACATACACTTTATGTGGTTTTGATTTCACACATGGTTTTGTAGCTGCTTTAATACAAACTCTGTCAACAACATTTATGTCGATTACTATAGAAAAATTATTTCCCACAGCAAAAATCATCAATTATTTTTTTCACTGCTATGCACATTTTGTATGTTCTCTTATATGGCGCTCAATTCGGTTAATGGAGCTCTTTCCTAGCAAGCTGATGATCTGATTTAGGTTCATTAAATAAGGGAGACATACATAAAGTGCAGAGTGGTTGGGAACCACTGTTCTAGAGGAAGTAAACATGGCATAAAACACAAAGTTAAGCTGTGATTTATGTTAAAGGCAATGGCTGCATCCAAAATCGCATACTTCCCTACTATATAATAGACGAAACACAGTATGTGACAAAAGAAGTATGTCAGAATTTACAGTACTCATAGGCAAAAAGTACTGGATGAACTACTACTTCTAGCGAGATTCTAAAGTGTGCATACGATGGACACTTTACTGTCCCATGAGGCCACGGGAGAGGAGTTGTGAATAGCGGTGATGTGACGCAACTGACGGAGCTAGTTCACATGATAATGACATACTACACACATTCATACAGTACTACTATATAGAACATACTTTTTTAGTGGTCGAAAAGTAAATATTTATTCAAAATAAGTATCTACTCAAGAGATTATGCGATTTCGGACGCAGCCAATCTGAAGCATTTTCATTTTACTTCAGTAATCTCATGAGAGAAACAGGATGAACAAGAAAAAGTAGGGTGGGACCGTTTATCCATTAGGAATTGATTGAATTGAAAGGAAAGTCGTTTCAGGAGTGGGTCAAGTTTTTTGATAAATTACGAACAAACATTTTATTACTTCGGATAATGTGAACTGATAAAATAAGGATCAAAATATTGCATGAAGTAATGCTATTTTATTAATTGTGCAGCAGTCATTCAAAATTAATTCAGTACTTTTAGATATAAAGGTTCCAAAAGTGTTTTTTTTTTTTTTTTTTTGCAATGCAATGCAATATTTTTTTATTTATTTTTTTCCCAAAGAACATTTCAGTGAACAGTTTTTAACGGATTTTTAAAGTGTTCTTCACACTAAGAAAAGTAAAGTTATTTTAAGAACTGTTCATTGAAAGGCTCCTTAGGAACCAAAAATGGTTCTTCTATGCCATCGCTGTAAAACAATCTTTTTGGAACATCTATTATTTAAGAGTGAAGAATATTGTAATAATCTAAAGAACCTTTTTGTCCATTATAAAGAGCCATTTGTGCTATGGAAATGTTGCATGCACTGTAGGTTAAAGGTTCTCCGTGGAAACATTAAAATTGTGAAATAAAATTGTGAAAACAGAACGATTATTTTAAAGACTGCATGCATAGTATGCAGATTTTTAAAATGTGCATTGATATTGTTCATTGGGATTTATTGTCGACATGAGTGAAAACACATGATTGGAGTAAAGCTCTTACAGTGGAGGTAAACAGGGCCATGCACTTTGAGAGTTTAAAAGCAGAAATGCCAAGCTCGTATTTGTCGTCAAAGCACTTACATGGATTGTTCAGCAGAGTGGAGAGAAACGAAGAGTCGTTACTGATAACGAACTTTCTGAATGGCTGACTGTGTGTCAGCTCAGTGCTACCGTGTGCATTATATCCGTTACCAGCAGCAGTTTGTCAAACACACAAACACACACACGCATGCACACACACAATCGCCCTCGGCTGCATGCCACTCATTATGTAAAGCCATCTTTATCTAGGAGGCAGCTCATAATCTTCTTTGTATGTTTGCACTGGACTGCCATTAGTGGGGATTTGATTTGTATGATGCTCAGAGAAGAGCGATTGGTCATGTGGTCTATGGAACAGACCTCCAGGCATTTTCCAACGGTCGTTTTTTTTCAAAAGTGCGGACAGAAATAATGTACACACACCGTTGAAAGTCTCTCTGTTTCTGTTCAGTGTAACTTGTGCGCTTCATTTCTAAACAGATTCTTTTTTTCTGGACTCTAGTACAATCAGTCGTGATTAAAAAAGCCATGAGCTTTTAAATATATTCACCTTACATTAGCAACATCAAACCTTCATTATAGGATCATGATACCTACAATAACACTGGAATTGAATTGCCATTTTTCGTTTAAAATTCCAGTACCACAGCAAAAACGAATATGCTATGATTTCAAAAGCTTTAGTTCATTACTGTATCTTTTGGTGTGTGTGTGTGTGTGTGTGTCTTTTACAGGTGGTTGGGGGAAAGATGACAGAGTCTGGGCGACTTTGTGCGTTCATCACCAAAGTAAGGAAAGGGAGTTTAGCGGATACAGTTGGGCACCTCAGACCAGGTACATGCTATGTTTCTGTATTTCATACGCTACTGTCTAAAAGTTTGGGGTCAGTAATACTTTATTTAATAAATTTGAAAGAAGTCTGCAGTTATTTAACCAAAATGACAGTAAAAACATTAATATTGTGAAATATTATTACAATTTAAAATAACTGTGTTCTATTTTTATTTTAACTCTCTAAATAGTATTAGCATGTTATTGAATATGGCTATGCTAATGTATTTGGTCTTGGCAGACTAGATCTGCTACGCTGCTGCTGCAGAGCAAGTATGGACTAAATACATATTTCAAAATGTAATTTATTCCTGAGATGACAAATCTGAATTTGCAACAGTCATTACTCCAGTCTTCATTGTCACGTGATCCTTCAGAAATCATTCTAATATGCTGATTTGCTGCTCAATAAACATACCTTTGGCGAATAGAAAGTTCATTATAGCTTTTTTTGTAAAAATGTAAACCTTTTACTCTTTACTGTCACTTTTGATTAAGTTAATGCATCCTTGATAAATAATGGTATTCATTATTTTTCAAAAAACAAATTTACTGACTTTGAACAGTAGTGTATGTAGGGCTATTAATCCAATAGTTTGCTACTGTATTAAATGCAGTAATGAATGTGTAATTACAGATAGTTTGGTAATTGATTTTCTTGTTTCGTAGGTGATCAGGTCCTAGAGTGGAACGGCCGACTTTTACAAGGAGCCACATTTAAAGAAGTTTACAATATCATTTTAGAATCAAAGCCAGAGCCTCAGGTGGAACTAGTGGTCTCTCGACCCATTGGGTAAGGCTTCCTCTACAGTGTTTTTCAGTTTACATGAAATTGGTTTTCATATGAACTTAAAGGGGATGTAATATAACATTAACAAGACATATAACATTACTATAACACATGGAAGATGTAATATAAGTCTTAGGTGTCCCCAGAATGTGTGAAGTTTCAGCTCAAAATACCCCACAGATCCTTTATTTTACCATGCCCAAAATGCCCCTTTTCGGGTGGATGCAAAAACACGCTGTTTTCGTGTGTGTGTCTTTAAATGCAAATGAGCATTTAATATCTGATATAAATATCTTATTGTTTACAGATGAGAATCGTATTCCGAATCAGTTTGGTTAAAGAAGAATTCTGGAACCAAATGTGTTTCATGACACGAAATAAAAAACAATAAATAACGTCACAGTTTTTCATAGCATTTCCCTTGTCTGCTGCATACATAAATAAATATAGAGTGCTTATTTGCAAAAAAACTAATATTAATGAATTGGCCAAAAAGAGTTACAGATTAGTCTCAGAATAGTGTATGATGAAGTGATTCATCAAAAGTACTGAAATATTTGTTAATGGAATTGCCAGAGTTAAGTATAATTGATATATATTTGTGCTGCCATTTTGAGGTGTGTTTCTGAATAAACCTCAAAAGCATTTTAGATCAGCAATATTGGTATTGTTCATAAAATTAACATGCTAATGAGCATTGTGGTCCATCTGCCTTAAATTTTGTATGATAAAAGTCTGTTTTCACCTCCTTTATATTAAATGTATCATATCATGAGAAATCCATATTTTCAGATAAAAGATGCAGTTGAAACATACTCTAATTTTGAAAACTCAAAACTTCTCTCTTAGTTAAAAAAATTTAATATTAAAAATAATTTGCAAAAATGTCTCGGGTTTCGTTTTGTAAATTTCTGACATCGGATCAATAAAGAAAAAGTCATGCAAAATTTTCCCTTTTTTTTCTTTCCATAAGATTATACGTGGACTTCAGGGAACAAATTGTATGGACTCACATTGGCTCACATGGACACAAACAAAACTGCTGCCCTCAGTTAGCCTCCTAATTTTCCTAATTGTAATTGTAAAGAGCGCATGACCAACTGAACTCTCTTTAGATTGTGAGTTTGGGCTGCTGCCAAAAACTTCACATCAAGACTAATGTGGTGCTCAGGGTCATTAAAGCACATGCCATTGATTTCTCTGTGCCACTGTCATTGCAGAGATATCCCCAGGATACCAGAAAGCACACACGCACAACTGGAGTCCAGTGAGTACATTTTCTCAGTCTAGTGTGTATAAATGATGGGATTCTCTGAGACATTAATGAGACATTTTTACAGAGCTTTGAAAGAATCTCTGATTAGTTTTGTGTATTTGTACTTTATATTTCTACTTTACCCTCAATCTCTTCTAAGGTTCAAGTTCATTTGAGTCACAGAAGATGGAGCGTCCCTCCATATCAGTCACGTCTCCCATGAGCCCCGGAATGCTACGGGACGCCCCTCAGTACTTATCGGGACAGCTTACAGTAAGTTCACAATAATCAACTCTTGTGCAGAGGAGTCTGCATTATAGAAACAGTTTAGGTATTTCCCCATGTCAGTTAAAGGTTCATGTCAGAAACAGTTTCAATGTGACTATACAGTTTAGGTCTATATGAATTTTGATGAAGAATAGCAATAAAGTTCACTAAAATGTGTGGTTTATAAAACTACATTTTCCAGCATTCTTTGGCATGATTATGAACAAATACACAGATAATTAAAGCTGCAAACAGCATTTTAGCGGTGTTCAAGCAGTTAAGGCCTTTCAGGCCGTTAAGCACAAAAGCATGGAAAGACATTGTTTTATGTAGCAATCATGATTTACCATGATATACTACATTTCAGTGTGATTTTTCATGATTTACCATGTTCCAGTATGATTTACCATGAATCTAACATGATTTTCCATAGTTTACCTTGATATACCATGTTATATGATGATTTACCATGATATAGCACATTCTAGAATAATTTACCAGGATTCTAGCATGATTTACATTTTTTACTATGATTTACCATGTTTCTGGCGTTATTTGCCATGATTTACCACGTTGATAGCAAAAAAAGATTAAAAATGTCTAATGCTGCTGCTCCATCTAGTGGACAACAGTGCTATTACAGCCTACTTATGCAATAGGCCATGTTTTTCATATCATTTAATCTACACACGCTCATTCTGATGTATATAGAGACATTTGGAACTTCAGGAGCCAATGTGACTCAATTGTCACTTCAATAGACGATTTTTGACTAAATGTTATTGTAAATGTTAAAATAGTGAATTTATAAAGTCTAAATATTAATTATAGTTGAGTAGTGTGACAAAATGACTTTTTTTAAACAGCAGGGGGCAGTAAAATACCACTTATTGGCTGTTAGCCTTTTTTCAAGCTGTTATAGCTGTTCTTGACCTTTTTTTAAGAAGCTATGAGCATTTATTGAAAAGATATTGGCTTTCGGTCAAGGCTACATATTGAAGTGACCCTATTATAGTCATCCAAATGAAGAAGTTATACATTTTCCTATAATTATTGTTCTAGAGAGTACAGAGCAATAGATGAATTTTGACAAAATGTGATTGTAAATGTTAAAATAATGATTTAATAAAGTCTAAATATCAATTATATATAAAAATATTAGAGAGTAGTATGATGAAATGACAGCAGGGGGCAGTAAAATACCACTTATTGGCTGTTATAGCCATCCAAGCTGTTATAGCTGTTATAGCCATCCAATTTACACTCTATTATAGCCATCCAAATTAAGTAATAATACCTTTTCTGATAATTATTGATCTAGATAGTCCAGATAATTGTACTGCACTGGTTTTAAACATTAAGATTTAAAAATTATACGATCATAGATGGAAAAGACCATTTACAGCCAATACAGGCAATTTACCATAGGAAATGTATGGTTTTAAAGCTTTTCAACAGTTATAGCGCCACCTATTGTCCGATCTCCATGAAACTTCGCATGCTTCTTCACCATGGTATGACACATATGCTCATCAATTTTTGTGAAGTTCTGAGTTTTTATTTATGATTTATAGGCTTTTGAGTGTGTTTTGACACACCCCTTTTATAAATGACCCTGTTATAGCGAAGCAAAGGGCAAAGTTCAACTTTTTTTCGATAATTATTGATCTAGAGAGTCCATAGAATTGTCCTAGACTGGTCTGGTTCCGATCGGGCGAAAAACCAGGGACTAGTTCGCAAAAGTAGGTTTTTAACATATTCGTGAATATTTAATGAACGGTTTGATTGACAGCAATGGTTCTAGAGGCAAAGTTGTTCAACATGAGGAGATCTATCAAATGATATGCATATTGTGGGGATGTGTGCAACACCACGTGATTACAGAGCCGTAAAACTCGTTAGCGCCAACTAGTGGCCGATTTCTTTCAAAACTCTTACAGACCTCTTGGGCCATGAGTCGAACATGCCCATAGAGTTTCGTTCCGATCGGCCTCCGTTAACCTCGTCTCACAGGTGCTCAAACTTCATTGGCCAATGGCGGCCATGTTTTTTGAGATACGCCAATATCCTTTTACACATACATGGCACCTTGGACCAAGACACTGCATACCAATTTTCAAGTCAATCGGACTAACGGTCAGATGGCCACACCCCCTTTTATGTTTTTTTAATGTTATAGCGCCACCATGAGGCCAATCACCGCGTTTTTTTTACTGTGACCTCGAATTGAGCTCATACACATTTGTACCAAGTTTGGTGAAAATATTTCATTTCGTTCACGAGTTATACCCATTTTAGTAAAATTAGCTCCGCCTCCTTCGAACGTTTGGGCACTCCCTAGCAACCGTGAATCGAAATTTCCACTTTTTTTCGATAATTATTGATATTCAGTGTCCAGAGAATCTTTCTGCACTGGTTTGGTTCCAATCGGGCAAAAAACCAGGGACTAGTTCGCAAAAGTAGGTTTTAGACAAAACCGGAAATAGCGGAAAAATTTGCATACCGGAAATAAAATCCTTGAGGCCTTTTTTGTTCTGCTTGAGCCAAGGATTCCAATGATATAAGACACTTGATGCTGGGACACAGGGTTATTGAGATTTAAGGAAAATAGTGCCATTTTTTTGTTTTTTGTGCTATAGCGCCACCTATGGGCCAATCGGGCTCATATTTTGATAACCTCTCCTCGATTTCTGTGCTACCTTAATCCCAAATATCAAGTCTCTAGCTCTTACGGTTTGGTCTGCACGATGCGTTTTAGGGCGGAATAATAATAATAATAATAATTAAAGCTGCAAGCAGCATTTAGCGGTGTTCAAGCAGTTAAGGCCTTTAAGGCCGTTAAGCACAAAAGCATCAAAATACATTAAGTTTTATGTAGCAAGCATGATTTACCATGATATACTACATTTCAGTGTGATTTTTCATGATTTACCATGTTCCAGTATGATTTACCATGAATCTAGCATAATTTACCATAGTTTTACCATGATTTACCATGTTCTAGTATGATTTACCATGAATCTAGCATGATTCACCATAGTTTTACCATGATTTACCATGTTCTAGTATGATTTACCATGAATCTAGCATGATTCACAATGTTCTAGTATGCTTTACATGATTTACCCTGTTGTAGCATAATTTACCATCGTTTACCATGATTTACCACGCTCTGGTATGATTTACCATGAATCTAGCATGATTTACCATAGTTTTACCATGATATTCCATGTTGTAGTATGCTTTACATGATTTACCCTGTTCTAGCACGATTTACCATTGTTTACCATGATTTACTGCGTTCTAGTATGATTTACCATGCATGTGTCAGTACAAATAAAGTGTTACACTCTGACAAAATATGATTGTGTTATAATAGTGATTGTTATATAATGGATTTTATAGTAAGCATGGATAAATTGCAGTTAACATGGAAAAACTGGTTTGCTTTAGTTCAGAATTTTGTTGAAACTCAAGGCTGTTAAAATGAAAGTGAGCCAATAAGTGGTCTTCTACTGCCCTCTGCTGGCCACTCTACTTATTAATAAAGTCTTTTTGCATTCATATCTAGACACACTATCTAGACACACACACACACACACACACACACACAAGTCATTATGAAAATATGAAATGCTTATAGACCATTAAAATATATGTCTTTGCAAGCTATTAATCAGATTATTCAGGATTTATTCAAAAACATGGGACTAGACACACACATTCTGTTGTAGATAAAGTGATCTGAACTGTGTCTCATTCAGGATTAACATTTGTCTGTGACACAATGCTTCAATAGATGAATTTTGACAAAATGTGACTGTAAATGTTAAAATAGGGATTTTATAAACTCTAAATAAGAATAATAGAATATTAGTAGTTAGTAGCATGACAAAATGACTATTTTAAACAGCAGGGGGCAGTAGAATACAACTTATTGGCTTAATATGCCATTATGTTATAACTTTAACCTTTTAAACTGTTATAGATGCATTATTTCTTATCTTATTTAGAGTCACATGTTCTGACTTGTTTTTAAGAAGATCTGAGCATTCATTGAAGAGATATAGGCTTTCTTGGTCAAGGCTACATATTGAAGTGACCCTATTATAGCCATCCAACTGAAGAAGTTATAACTTTTCTGATAATTATTTATCTAGAGAGTCCAGAGAATTGTACTGCCCTGATTTTGAACATTATGATATAAATATTGTATGATCATAAATGGAACACACCATTTACAGCCAATACAGGCAATTTACCATAGGAAATACATGGTTTTAAAGCTTTTCAACAGTTATAGCGCCACCTATTGTCTGATCTCCATAAAACTTTGCATGCGTGTTCATGATGTTATGGCACATATGCTCACCAATTTTTGTGAAGTTCTGAGTTTTTATTTATGATTTATAGGCTTTTGAGTGTGTTTTGACACGCCCCTTTTTATAAATGATCCTGTTATAATGAACCAATTGGCAAAGTTCAACTTTTTTTCGATAATTATTGATCTAGAGAGTCCAGAGAATTGTACTGCACTAATTTTGAACATTATGATATGAAAATTATATGACCATAGATGGAAAAGACCCATTTACAGCCAATACAAGCAATTTGCCATAGGAAATACATGGTTTTAAACCTTTTTAACAGTTATAGCGCCACCTATTGTCCGATCTCCATAAAACTTTGCATGCTTGTTCATGATGTTATGTCACATATGCTCACCAATTTTTGTGAAGATCTGAGTTTTTTTTAATGATTTATAGGCTTTTGAGTGTGTTTTGACAAGCCCCTTTTTATAAATGATCATGTCATAGCAAACCAAAGGGCAAATTTCAACTTTTTTTCAATAATTATTGATCTAAAGAGTCCAGAGAATTGACCTAGACTGGTCTGGTTCCGATCGGGCAAAAAACCAGGGACTAGTTCGCAAAAGTAGGTTTTTAACATATTCATGAATATTTAATGAACGGTTTGATTGACAGCAATGGTTCTAGAGGCAAAGT